CCAGAGAAACTTTTCTCAGCTGCTTGTGCAAGTAGAGATACAGGTGCTCAGTTTCATAATCTTCTGAAGCATGGAAAAGTGTTTCCTTCATGTTCGGTCCAGTAACCTGAAGACACTTTGAGACTTCAGAAAGTGTACCAGTGAATAAAATCTGTATTATTAGATCTTCTGAGAATCTGAAAAAGAGATTGTACAGGACAAATCTGTTAGGTAGATTTTTAAAACATAAAGCTTTGATGCGTCTCTAGAAGCTGAAGATTTCATGTACAGAGCTAGGAGGAATAGTTGGCAAGTCCCCAGAATTCATTCCAACTCCCAAAATAGAAACTTCTGTAGCTTTTTTTACTTTGTTTTTCTGCTAATTCTCTTCCAATTAGTGTCAGTGCAATCACTGTTACCATCTGTAGTTGTCTTTTCTTCCCCTCTGCTTCCCGTGAGTCTCACTGTGTTCTGCAAAACTTCACTGAGCAAGATTTAAAAGTTAAACTCCTCTTGATACTGAGTCTCCTCAGTAACAATTTATTCAATTTAGAGTTCTTGTGTTTTGTTGTGACAGCTTTTAAAAACATATCTGCAGTATTTGTATTTGAAAATAGGGGTATTTTATTTGCTCAGCAACCTGGGATTTCATTTTATTGTCCTTGGGTATACTGATTGGCATTTTGGTGATCCTAAGTACAGTTTTATGCTGGTCTTTTGCATGTAGCTTTAATACAGCCATGATTGGTAAAGGAAGATACAAAATTACAGGTTGATGAAACTGGAGGCTCACGGGCCAGATAGTAAAATACTATTAAAAATGGTTTTAGTGGGTGTTTGGTCTTACTGATTCTTATGTGAAGACTTTGGCTGGAGTTACTTTAGTAATACTGGAAAAATAATATGCTTAGCTTTAGTGTGGAAATTTTCTCTCTGATTTATATTTTTAAAACTTGAGGACAGAGATGCTGTAGAAGTCATAAGATACTAGAATACTTAATACTCTGTGATGTTAGAAAGCAAGTGTGGTCTGCAGAGCTGTTGGAGATGATTCATAGAAAAGCAGCAGTTTTCCTGTGTGAAACTGCTGCATGGTTAGTCACCAAAGATGCTGTTTTCACTCTTGTAACTGTCATAGCTGCCACAGTGACATGTAGCTGAAACTAGGAGAGGAAGGCAGTTGTGAGTAGGAAGGAGGAAGCTATGACTTTGCTAGTATGACAGCAGCAAATTTCTTGGGTTGGAGAAAAATATATTAGGTACTTAGCTTAAGGAAAAAAAGACAAAAAAAAGAAGAAACACAGAACTGAATTTTACTGTTCACAAGCTATTCCTCTTTGACCAGTTCATTGAGCACCACTGTTGGCAGATTAGCATAGAGCAATAGATTAAAATGAAAGATCTGGCTGAAGACACTGCGTATTAACTTTCAATTTAATTTACATAAATTTAGTCTGTCGGACATTTTCAAAATGAAAGTTTTCTCTTCTGATCCTTTTGATCCTTTTGTTGTTTTTGTAAGCGTGTTGTAATTAACGCTGTAATTTACCCTCAGACTGTAGTTTCAGGCTTCGAAAGCTGGTGTTGGAAAGCTTCCACTGAAAAAGTACCTCTCTCTTTTTAAAGATAAGCAGGGCATTGTAGGCTGCTTTTCCATTGTGTTTGTACTGCACGTGGCAGTGCTTTTCAGTTGGATACAAATGGGACTGGGGCACTGTCTCAGCTTTCCCATTTGTCTGTGGCACCAACACAGCAGTTCTGAAGAATGTTCTTATACCTAGTTTTGGAATGTGAGGAGTACAAAGAGTATGCCTGGTGGTGTCAGAGCATCCAAAAGGCTGCAGTGGTCAGAGTTGCTTGAGGAAAATGGCTGGTCTGGGACAGTTCATGTATTGTTACTGTCAGTTTTACCAGCTTGAAAATGAGCACTTCTATTGTAAGACCAGTTGCCTAACATACTGAGTGTCATGGAAGCACCACTGGTTCTGCTCTGAGTTTAGCATAGTTGTGAAAGTTGTTTAAATATTTAGAAAGGATAATGTTTAGTATTTAACACGGTCCATTTCACAAGGTTTCTTGGGCATTTCATGTTAGCAAATTCCCTTTTATTTAAGAAACATGGACACCAAGGACAGTTCTGATCTCTTTTGCTTTCTTTCTGTGATCACTGTAGCTGTGACTTTGTCTGAGATATGTAAGGTCAGTTACGATTGAGGAGGTGATACTACTTGTATTATCTTCCAGATGTGTGTTCTACATTCCCATCATTGCGAGATCTCAGAAATAATAATCTTAGTTTCTTTGGCAGTCCCAAAAGAGATGTATACAATAAAGGAAAAAAAGAAAAGCCTGTTCCATGTAGTGAGCCTTGTCTATTTTTTCTAAAGATAAATCACTATGGGATTTTGTGTAGTTCTGGGAGGTGACCTACCTTTCTCTACAAGTCTCACTTCTTTCTGGGGAGTCCAACAGTGCTACCAGTTAGTCCTGTCTTGTGCAAGTCAGATCCTGCAAAACTACTAACTCTTCTAACAGATCTCTCTTACCTGCCCCGAATAAATAAGGTTTTTTTTGTGTGTGTCATGGTTTTTGTTTTTCACACTCTTCAATAATTTAACATCTCTTGGGGCGGTGCAGTGTGAGTGGAGTATACAGCAAGCTCCTTCAAGACCTTGAAGGATTTAAAAAACTGTTTGAGAAACTACTTTCAGACTTTGATTCTAGCTCATGTAGTAGAAAGAGACTAGTTAAAGTTTGGTACATAACACGTGCGTAAGTTCAGGTGAGTGTTCAAGTTCAGCGCAGCCGAATGTATCTTTGTGAGCACGAGCCAGACTTTCCTGGTGAGGAGGCCATGCCAAGAATGGGAGCCTCAAAAAACATTAATTGTCTGTGCTACTTCTAGGGTTCTGCAGAAGAAGGTGTCTTATTTTTCCCAAATGGTTGTATCGTCTGTCATCTAAAGTGTTTTGGACAGTAGAAACAGTAGAAGCAAGACAGATGGAAGCATCTGACTAAGCAAAAAGCTTATCACAGGGCTGTGCTATAGTTAGTGGGGTTTTAGGGTATAGCAGCAGATATAATGTCTTGTTGTATCATTCAGATAATCTGCTTTGTGAAGGCTCTTCGTGTGGAAAACATCTGACCTCTGTATTTTGAGAAGTGAACTGGTGATTTGCAGTGTTTGCTACTGCTGAAGCCCGGTGTCTAAATGAAATACGAGCAGCCAGTGTTTGGTTTTATTTGGAGCATAGGAAGAGCATAGTAGATTGCTACAGCTTGCTAGGTAGTTTTTGCAGTGAATTACGTTCTATTTGTTTGTATTTTGAGAGCTGGATATCTTCTGCAGGCATCTCTCCTGAGCTTATTCTAACACTTCGCTATCATAATTATCTCAGAAAAGAATGGTTCATTATGTGAATGGGAAAATGTACTCAAAGCTGTAATTAAAGATGTTTGGTTAGTCTTGCCACATCTGATGGGCATCTTGCCAATGCACTTTGCTTCATATAGAATTATGATTCTGAGATCTCTCCAAGCATATACTTGGCTGATGTTTTATCTTGTTTCAGTATGTTTTGCTATTTCCAAGAGAGTGACATGGCAGTAGTTTTTCTGTGTGTGTGTGGTGTTGATTGGCTGTTGTTCGCTTTTTGTTTTGTTTTGTTTTTTTTTTTTAGTACATTGTATAATTAACTGTTTCTGTTGTGTATGACGTTTATTATGGTCACAGCAAGGTCTTTTTTTTGTGTGTGATACATTCTCTGAAGTCAGCACAAGGCTTCAAAAGGCTTTCTAAGATTCCGTTAGGTTAAGTTAGAATTTGTCAAGAATACTGAAGAAACAAAGGACACAGTGGCACTGTATTTTGAAGGCCTGTGTTGGCACTGCCTGTACCCTGTGATGACTGAAAGTTCTGTAGCTACATTTAGGATAGCCTTGAGAAGACCTACTGCACCTTGCCTTGTACATAGTGAAAAACAGCTAGGGACAGATGCCCTTTGGTTAACTCAGGGTAGAGTTGCATGCATGTTTGTTTGTCAAACACCATACAAGCTTCCAAAATATTCTTAAAAATCATTTTACTCTAGGCTTCTCACAACTTTGCTGTTTGTTTAGGTATTTGAAAACATTTCTTCTGACACTTAGCTGAGATACTGCTTCATTCCCAATGCTTAAAGGGAAAAACTGAAAAACAGTCATATGTGCATGCTTAGAATTTTTATTTAAATGTCTGTTGGTAGTGTCCTACAAAACAGACACCTCTCTTGAACTTAATTTTGTTTGGTTTGGTGTTACAGTCAACTTGACAACCTTCGATAGCTCTATGGCTATGCATTGTATAATTTTCTTAGAAGAAATATACTGAAGGAATAATTAACAGATTTATGTTCATTCATATTATCCTTTCTGTAACTGTTTTACATCCAGCTCAGGGGAGATCCTTTTCTGTCTCTGGCTCACCCTTTGCCCCCAGGGGAGTGAACAACCCTCCTAATAGTAAAGGTAGTTGGTGCCTTGGGACATCTCGTGTTAATTTTGCAAAGGCATTAGTATCATACAAAGACAAACTTCTACAACCATCACGGGTTTTCTGTACTTTTTAAAGATGTACTGTGTCTGAAATAAACTACTAATTCTGTGTGAAGATATTGTCAAGCTTATTTTTTTATTTTCAATAAGAAAATTATTCTAAAATGCACATTAGAATTTATTCTCTGCCTTAAACTGGGATTGTTCTTCAGAAAATAGATGGTCATGATAAACTTATGTCCTTTAGGATCAGTTAGCATTAAAGTACCTTAATATATTTGATAGAAATACGGTATCAAGCTGACCTATTTGATTATAGTCTACTGCTACAAGATAGTTGTACTGAAAGTAATGTAATTGATTGAAATTAGCCTGATGGTTGTTGCTGTTGCTTCATGATTCGTTTATATATGTATTGATATTTAACTTCCATAGACAAATATGTTTTTGCTGGAAAAAAATACAATATCAATTTTTCTATATTTTAGATTAAATAAGATTATGAATCAGGTGGCCATTCAGCGGAAGAAGCAGTTTGTTGAACGAGTGCACAGTTACTGGTTGCTTAAAAGGCTGTCTAGGAATGGTGTTCCTCTTTTGAGAAGGCTACAGTCCAGTTTGCAGTCACAACGAAACACGCAACAGGTACGTGATGGGAATAAAAAAATTTAACAGGAAACATAGCACCAAGTAAAAACTTAGTTTTATTCAGCACTGAGTAAAAGCTTTACCTTATTTTTAACGTCTAGTTACAAACTGAAGTCACAATATATAAATCTTTTAAGTTGTGATATATGTATATATATATATATATATACACATACACACACACATTCTTTTCTGTAAGATAGCCTTATGTTTTACTAAATGTTTTACAAAACGTTCACTAAAACTATCCTAATTACACTGATCAGATTTTATTCATTGATTCATTATGCTTTTTGGAAATAATTTTTCAGTGTCCTGTGAGTTTGAAAGATTAAAGAAAAGAAACTATTTCTAAAATATATTAAAAGATTCAAAGCAAATTTCTTCTTCGACATTTACAAAACCAGGTATTTTATGGGGTAAGGATTAAACATAATAATTTACAGTGTTGAAATTTGAACCTTATTGTCTATATTCTTTGGTAATAAGAGAACTAAGAGAAATACATGAAGTTCAAGGATTTGTTGGTTCAACTTCTAGATTCACTTTTGGCACAGTTCAGTGGAGTTACACACAAGCACAAGTTTATGCTGAAGCTTTATTCTAATAAAATGCGTTCTATTAAAAAATAAAATTAAATTTCTTAAAGCTGTGTACATTTACCAGTCAAAATTTCTGAAAGCAATTTCAAAATGTCAAGTGGAAGGTATTTGTGATCCCTGTGTAATGTTTGTTTACTAAAACAAATTTGATGGGGGAAGAAGCATTCCACGGTTTCAAATTACTTTTTAATGACGGTGCGTTAGAGCTCAGTAATGATATGCTTTTGAAGGTGATGATACATCAGTGAGCAGCACTAAACCCCAAAGATCTTGGCTTATGTAACATCTCACCTGCTGGAGGAACAAGGAAACCTCTGAAAGAATGATTTATACTGTCACTTCTTTCTCTGCTTAGAATATCATGACAGATACTGGAGTTTAAAAAACTTGCAGCCCCATTATTTTTTTTTCCAGTACTTAAATACTTTTTCAGTAAAAATAAGGTGTGAAAGTTGAGCTATTGCTGGTATTGTAAAGGTTGTTTGAAGCTGCTGTTCAGAAAATAGGTATTAAAAGTGCTGCTGATTAAAGTCATATCTGCAGTGAAGATTTTAGTAATAACACTGGTTGCAGACACAAAATGGTTTTGGCTGGCTTATGAATAATAGCAGAACTGTTAATGAAATTGTTGATCAAGATGCAGTGCTATCACATTAATTCTTTGGCTCTTGTTAAGTTACAGTTTCTGTGAGGAATGAGGCTGTTCCCTCATGTTCACATCCAGCATGAGTGATTTGTTGGTACAGTGACAGTGTTCCTACTGATATGACATTCCTTTATGGTGGGATAGGATGAAGATGAGATCTCAATTGATACATGATCTGTATGTCTTAGAAATGAGTCCCTCTTAGCATTAACAAATATTGGTTTTAGCTTTTCTAAACAATACAGTGCTTTGCGTTCAGTAGATGAAATGCCACAGTTTCTGAATTTAACTTCTGTCCTTTCTGGATTTGGTATAGAAAGATTTGGAGGAAGATCTGTTTAATAAGAAAGTCATATAAAGATCTGCTTGTCAGAAAGTTTTTGTGAAGTAAAATATTTAAAATAAACATTTAGTCAGAATTTTCACTAGGCAGATAGTGGAAACTAACACTCCAACGTTGAACTCTTTTCAGCTTTCCTGAATTCGTTTCAGTTGAGGCATGTGTTATACATCAGGTAATGAAGTGTAAAGAGGATTGGTGTCAGCTAGTATAACTTAAACATTACTCTGCATAGCAGTGATGCAGAATTGGAGGCTCACTATTGAACCATGAGCCAAACTGATTTTAGAGAAAGGAGGCTATGTATGCTTAAAGAAAAAAAAAAAAGCAAGGTGCTCTTGATGTTTTGGGTCACATCAGCAGATATAAATGTACATTAGAGAGTAAGTGTTACGTTTGTCTGTACCAGGTGAAACAACTGATTCAATTTAAAAAAAAATCTTAAAATATTTTTAATTGCGACTGCACTTTCATATTTAGCAAAGTACTTAAGTTTCACATGAACTATGTCAGACTTGCTCTAACAGAGTTGCATTCTTTTCTTGTTGCATCTAGGTTTCCTGACCCACCTTAAAACTGGTGTGTTTCTGTTGACTTTCAGTAGGATCAGTTCCCTAATCTGATGAATTATGCAATTACACAGGGCAAAAGAGCAGACTATTATATGGCTGCAAGCAAGCAGACAACAAGCTTTCTGCTTTTGGCAGGAACCAGAACGAAATTTCGGTTCTTAAAAACAGTTAAAACTATGGGGAAAAAAAGAAAATGTAAATATGTCAATTAACAGTTGTTGATTTTTTTTCTTCTTCTCCCCCCCCCCCACGGGATCTGCACTCACAGATTAAGGGGTATGCAAAAGTGGCATAGTGGCAGTGTAGACATCCTGATTCAGCGGGTCTCTTGGAATTTTAAGGAACTGAAAATGTGAATAATAATATTTGTACTGCTATCACAATTGGAAACGTTAGGACCTTCAGCAGTTAAATTATTACTTGTCTAAGTCAAGTTCTAATTTCTGTAAAGAAAAAAAGATTGTCAGTCTAATAGACATTGGGAAGTAGAAAGTTCTTTTCAAAGTAGAAAGAACTTTTCAATTATGTTTTTTGAAAAAAGGAATGAGCTTTTGTTACTAGATCGCTGTACTAATATACAGAGCTAGTTGGAGGTAAAAGATTTTCAGTGAAGTCAGAGATTTGGATAAAACTGACTTCATAGCTTCCATAGCTACTTGCCTCTCATTTTCCAAGATATATAAAGTGCTAAAATACTGGGCAGCACTCACATATCTGTTAGCTATTTTTAAACTGCCATTTTTTGCAGTTTTATTTTTAGAACCTTCTAGCTGAAAAATTTCATAAAGCTCTTTTACAGGACTATAATTTCATGCTATTAGGGATGTTTTTGCTATGAGTGTCACTGTTTGTAATGCGTGGTTATTGTTCACCTGTTCAGCCAGTTTTCCTTTGTCTTCTGTCTTCTATTTTTTATAACTGGTGGAATTTATTTATCACTTGTTTGTTTAAAACAAACAAACAAAAACCATCAAAAGAATGATACTACATATATATATTGCCTCATGCTAGTTCTGGGCAAGCATACAAAGCTATCCATTTCTTCCTGGGATTCTTAGTTAGGATATTCACATAAAATATAATAATCCTCTAACGCATGCTTGTTTTCTGTACTTGGTCCTAGTATCAGGACTTGTACTTCTTAACAGCCTTGTTTCTGGTGAATTATAAAACCCTATTTAACACTGTGATTATTATTCCAGCGTTTTACCTTTTCTTATGAAAAATAGTAAAAACAAACAAGAAAGGCTGTTTTCTGTGTATGCAGAACAAACTAAGTACTACAATGCTACAGGTATTTATGGACAGGTTGTCCAGTTCATTATTGATGTATTGTTACACTGCATATTTGTAGTACTATTTGAAATTATTTGAGAAACTGTTTTTCATTTTCCGTATTCAGGAGTCATAATGGTCTTGTTGCTGTTAGAAACGTGCTGTTAGCATGGCTGAAAGTGGCAGAGGTGGACTGTGTTGACCACAGGGAGAACTTTGTTTTACCAGGCTTATGTGATATTTGTGGAGAAGCTGGGTGATACTAGAATGGAATAGTTCAGTTGGAAGGGACCCGCAAAGACCATCAAGTACCTGAGTACTTCAGGACTAGTTCTCCTGGTTTGGGTTTTGATGTGACAATACTGTATCTGATTTTGCAGCTGGGTTGTTATTTGCTATATTGCTTTTCTTGTGTAAATAATCTTCATTATAGGGCTGCTTTTCAGTTATATAAATTTTGCTTTGAGCTAGACAGTTCAAAAGTAGAACTGTATTAGGAGCTGTATTATGTATTACGATATTATGAACCTTATTACCAAGTGCTCTATTTAAAAAAAATAAATAAATAAACTTCATTTTTGCTGTGACTGCACTTCTGGAATTGTGTAAAACTAGCTTATAGAAAGTGATCAGTTGTTTTCACTTCCTGACGATCTTTTTGATTCTTTTCTTAGAGAGAAGATGATGAAGAAATGCAAGCCTTAAAAGAAAAATTGAAGTACTGGCAAAGGCTGCGTCATGATCTTGAAAGGGCACGCTTACTGATTGAGCTGATACGTAAGCGTGAGAAATTAAAAAGAGAGCAGGTAAATGGAGTATGATTTAATTTGGTGAGACCTTTCTGAAGAAAAGATGACTAAGTATTCTCACGCAGGTTTTGCAATACGAAGAGTATGCTGTTTGTGTGCGTGCTCACACACAAGCTGATTAAAATATATACAATTACTTAACAAGCCATTCAGCTGTATTTTCAAAGTTGTTTGATTTCTGAAGAGCTGTAGCAAAATTTATCATCACATTTTCCTAACAAAAAGCCTTTTCTGAGCAGCACTTTTTTATTTTTCTGACAAATGAGTGACCACTGCATCTAATTCACAGGACATTAGAGTTAATATAGCTGGGATTCAGATGTGAGAAAGTGATTCTGCAGAAAGATAACATTTTTCTATAGAAACTGTGAAAGTAACAAGTTTGCCTTTAGAGTCTTAAATTGTTCTTTTTTTGAAACTCACTTTGTGTGTTTATATTATTTGTATATTCACACCATTGATGTGTGATAAGAATTTCATTTTTCCATATCGAAAGTATTTCAGTGCTGACAACTGAAGGTTAATTTTAAACATGTTACTTTTAAATTTTTAATTTTTCTTTTGCTTGTCGTATACGAACCTATTCTTATTTAACAGTGTCTCAAATAAAGAATTTATGTTAAAAATATAAATAATGCTGCAAAACTCATTGTAGATACAATAAAAACTTGAGCTGGGAAGCTGAAGTTGAAACTGAGTCTGCAACAGAGGAGTAAGAATAATTTCTCATTAACTGAAAGCATACGTCGTACCAGTTCAAAGTGATAATGCTGAAAGTAATATTAAGATGTAGAAATACTAGTTTTGACAACTTATTTTCTTTTATATTTAAGCTGAAGCACTGTTTTTATATAGTGTTTCATATCTTATGTTTTACTGCTGCAAGACAACTTAGGTTAGAACAGTATTTTAATAAGTATGCAATTATTTATTTTTCATTACTCTCTTAGGTCAAAATTGAGCAGGTTGCTATGGAACTTCAGCTTACTCCATTCAGTGTCCTCCTTCGATCAGTCCTGGATCAGCTGCAGGAAAAGGATTCTGCTCGTATATTTGCTCAGCCAGTGAACCTTAAAGAGGTATGTTTTAAGCTTATTTTTTTTTAGTGTTTTCTTATGTTTAGCTATGACTTGGTGGCACCACAGTAGAAGAAGCAAATTGTTGCATCATGTAATTGGTAGCACTGTTACCTTCTAACCTCCATTCTGATGCCTTTTATAACTTGGTACTGTGAAAGTATATTCATATACCAAAGTAATTTCTGGTGAATACTTGTGCAGAATGAAGTGGCAGTATTCTATATTAATAGTACTTATTTCCTGCTATATGATTATTTGATGAAGCAAATTTGAACAGTGTCTTAAAAATTGAAATGTGGATGCTGTATTCTCACTTGGAGGTAAAACTCCTTTTCATTTACCTTGAAAAAAAAAAAATATATATATAGAATATGTTATATATAGTCTCTATATATGCATATGTTTGCATGTATATTTGTGTATGCACGTAACATTTATAAGTATATATATATGTTATACATTTATACATGTATAAATGCATTTATATACCTACATATATGGATATGCATACATGAATTCTAAAAATGAGTAGTTTCAGCATCTGTTAGTAGAACTGTGATTTGTTACATGGATACAAAGTCATGTAATATGTAATGTTGGTATGTAAATGTTTACTATCTCAAGATACACTGTTCTTAGGTATATTTTGCATTTAGTAATTTGAGCTGTTATTCTCTTAAAACATGCAAAACAGTTAATAGCTGATACTACTTTATCAAGAAAATTTTATTGTACTTTTACCCACTGTTTTAAATATTTATTCAAAGGTTCCAGACTATTTGGATCATATTAAACATCCTATGGATTTCTCCACCATGCGAAAACGGTTAGATGCTCAAGGCTATAAAAACCTCAGTGAATTTGAAGAAGACTTCAATCTTATCATAGATAACTGTATGAAGTACAATGCAAAAGACACAATATTCTATAGAGCTGCAGTGCGGTTAAGAGATCAAGGAGGTGTAGTTCTCAGGCAAGCTAGGAGAGATGCTGAAGGAATTGGTTATGATAATGAAACTGGAATGCACTTACCTGAACGGCCTAAACTTGAGTCACCACAGCCTTTCTCTTGGGAAGATGGTAAGAAGGTTTTTGGATTATTTTTAAAACCTGCATTTTTGGCTCCTCGCCTTCCATGCAGATGTTTGTAATTGTAGCTCTTCAGGTTATTCACCATAATTCTTTTTCTCCACTGCAAACAGTTCTTGAAAGATTAAGTTGATTCTCTTCAGCTAGATCTGCCATTGGAAAGCGTTGTCTTCCAGATTCTTACTTTGGCAGTGTTAAAGCCTAATTTGACAAGTTGCATGAAGAAGGTTTTTAAGTTGAGTGCCTTATTTTACATGTTATATATGGTCATAGGACATGGAAGATGACTACCAGCACACATAAATTTCAGTGCATTCTTAAATAACCTATTCAGTTCTAACAGTCAAGGACGCTTGTAAGGCTGGGAATTAAAATGACATCTTTAAAATGACTGGTTTTCTGAGGTTTTGAAAATGAAGGAGAATGATTGACATTCTTTTTACATTAGTGTAATCTTGGTCTGTTCCTTGACAAGAAAGAGATCACATCATAGGTTAGAAGAGGTTAATTGTCTTCTTTCTGACCTTGCTCTATTACTTATCTTTCTTGAGAAAAATACCACTCAAGAAGAACAGTAGCAATATTGTACAATAGAAACTTACGCCAGCGTAGGTTCTTCACTGAAGATAGTGAAGCTAACTAATACTGTAATCTAAGTAGCTTTTGATAGCATTTTTTAGTCAGCATGTGATTTTTTTTTTTTTTTGTTTACTTACTCATTTTTCCTGTTGGAATATTATCTGGAAACATAAAACACATTTTGAATTATACGTGTTTTGACTTAAGTTGATAGGTTACTGAATCCTGCAAACCGAGTGCATATGTCCCTGGAAGAACAGCTGAGGGAGTTGCTAGAAAAACTTGATCTTACCTGTGCAATGAAATCCAGTGGGTCAAGGAGCAAAAGAGCAAAGCTGTTAAAGAAGGAAATCAGCAGTATTCGCAACAAGTTAAGTCAGCAACACAACCAAGCTCCTCAAATAGAATCAGGTATTGGAAGTTTTGAAGAAGAAAGTGCAGCACTAGAACAAGATGGAGAAGAAGAAGGTAAGATTTTTAAACCTTTTTTTAATTAGTACTAGTAGTTCTTCAGTAAAGGTGCTCTAATCATGTGAATTAAACGGGATACTTGAATATTTTATTTCATTTTTAAATGGACAGATAACTACTTATGTACAATAAATTTTTAAGAATATGAGAATGATCCCTTTAATGAAAACCTCCTTTCACAATAGCAAGGCTTTTTAAAAATCTGGATATTAAGGAAGGTAAAATAGAAAAAATCTGATCGAAAAAGGAATTGAGAATGTCTGAGTAGAAAGCATCTTCATACTTTACAAATCCACTTAAATGCCAAAAAATGTATATTGGGGATCATGTGAGCCTAAGCCAATAGTGCTGAGAATGCTGGCTGTTGTACTGCATTTTCTAGCTTTTCTATCCTCTCCTCTGCGAAGACTCTGGGAGAGCGGAGTTTGGAGAGTAGATAGGTTTGTGTGTTTGTTTCCCTTTTAATAACAGTAGCTACCTATTGATAGGAGTCATCAAACTTCATGTTGTTGAATTAAGGCACCTAAATCTAACCAGCCCTTTCCCTTGTGCCTTTCTTCCTCCTCAAAACAGTGGTTTCAGAACTATACCAGCTCTTTGCTAGGCCCCACTGATTCCACTGAGAACAACTTGCTAGAAACACCTAACTATATATTACAATTCACTGTTGTATTTGATTCTTCTATTGTAACCTAAGTTGCAGAGTTAAAAGGATGCAATCAAATCCACTTTGCAAAATAAATTGAAGTTTTGAGTTTCTGTTTCTTGGTCAGCTCTTCTCTGAAAAGCTAACCTATTTTTATTTAGGAGCATTATAGATGTATTTCATTTTGAATAACAGCATTGAGTGGGGGGAGGAAAGAGCGAAAGGGAAAGTGCAAGTGTGTTTAGTAAAAAAAAAAAAAAAAAAGAATAGTCCGGTGCAGATTAATGCTGTCAGCATATTTGAGAGGCGAAGTGAATAAAAAGACTGTCCTTAACTGCCATTCAAACAGTAACATAGTGGTTGTTTCTTACTGTGGTTAAGAATGATTTTCAGATATATAATTCGCTTGAGATTTGAGTGACAGTAGTTAAAAAAATTTATAGCTGAATTGACATATGACTTATCCTGTTCTGAAGCTGTTAAAAATTCTTAAGATGTTCTATGGTGTTTTATTTATTTCAACCTCTTTCAAGCAATGTTGCCTCTGAACATAGTGATTTAGGAATTTAATGTACTTTGTCATATAAGTACACTATCTTGTAGCTTAACATTTTCATTACACAGCCCTTAACTTCTGCAGCTAATGTGCAAATACTAGTCCTAAAAGTGAGCAGTAACTGTTTCTGTATTCTATAATAGGTTAAAATATATATATATATATATAAAGGCATGATCCAGAGTTGATTGACATTGCTTTTACAGTTACAGTGAAGAGTAGTTAGCTATCAGTTCAAGCTGCAGTTTTGAAGTGGAAGTTACGTAGAGGAAAGAGAACAAATTGCTAAAAAAAAAGGGACCAGATTAGATTGGAATCCTCTGCCCAGGGTCTTTATGAGAGCTGACTTTAGAAGTGCTGTGAATTATCTGTAATTTTACAATTCTGTTTTAAGTCTCTGATTATGTGAGAAATCAGTAGCAGAATAATCCAGTGACATTTATTTTTTCATGTCTGAATAGTCTTTTTTTCTTCAGTGCGTAGATCTTTCTAAGAATCTTCTCTTAACTATAATTGAGAGAAAATTACAATTTGTTCAAAAATGACAGTGACATTGGATATTCTAAACCATGGGCTTTTTCAAATTGGCACTTTAAGTAACACAATTGAACGCTAAATTTTATTCTGAACGTTTTTTACCAGTTGTAATACTTGTATGCTTTCAAAGGATGAGAGTGTAGTCACACTATTTGTTAAACACTGTATTTTTAATATGAATTGTGCTACTGTACAGATATACCTTAAATGATGTGGCACTTCTACCCCTAGAAGTCATTAATTTCAAAGTAACCATTGCTAAACCAAAGCACAGAAGAGTAGTATTTAAGCCTCTACACGTAGAGGATTTAAATCCATGTTGTTACATCTTGCTGTGTCACCTTTCATCCGGTGACACAAAATTAATTAAACTTTAAAATTTCATTTGATAGTGTAAACATTACATTGGCATCGTACCGTTGTTCTTACAGAATAAGCACCATCTTTTGTCTCATTTCAGTTCTTAAAAGATCATTGTGGGAAGTGTAAAGATTTTGAGGTCTCTGTTTCAGCAGGTTGGGTAGTCCTCTTGCTTTTATTTAGGAGTGCTACAACAGTAGAATGCTTCTTTCCCATCATTTGAGATGAGAAATTGAATCTGGTTCTATATGCTCACGTTTGTGTCTCCCTATTGTCTTCTCTCAGTTTGAAATTATTTAAATAAACTGGGAGAGGATAATGGGGAAAAAAGGGGGAGGGGTGAAAGAAAATTAGTAGGTGATGTCTTTTCTGTTTTCTGTCAGGTCTACGCTGTCACATCTGTATTTGCCAGCTAGTGCCTAGTAAAGCTGCAAGACTTTAGGAGTGAAGTGTTTTCTTTGTTTGAGGGGCTTTTTTTTTTTTTTTTTTTTGGGAGAGAGAGAGGGGGGGAGAGAGAGATTTTTTTGGGGCTTTTTTTTTTTTTTTTTGTGAATTAAACTATTAGTGAAAACTGTAAAGCAGCTTTGCAGAAATTGCCTTTCGTGAATTTTGTATTGCACTTGAATTCACTCTGGTAGATCAGGTTACAGATACAATTTTTAAACGATTAGCTGATTAAAATTTGTCATAGGCAGGTAAGGTGTATATAAAAAAAATTGTATAATGTATTTTATCAAATATTTTACTTGAATGGCAGTGTAAGTGCATTTTAACATAATCATCCACCACCCCAACTTTCTATTTAAAAAAAAAAAAAAGTTTTCTTAGTTAATGAAACTAACATAACTGCATGAGAAGAAGTACCAAGCGTAAATTGTTAACACCAACTATAAATACCTACTTTTCTATCCGTGTTACATGCCCAGTATAAAAGTAGGAACTACTAACTAGGACAGATTGTTGTTAGTCAAGAATTGTTTTTAAAATGTTATGCTTTGTTTCCAAACAACAATTTATTTGGTGGGCTGCACATTTATAGTGAGTTTTATAATAGACTTTCTAACTACAAGTTTTCAAAAATCACACTCTATTTATAATTTTTTCAGGAGATAAATCTCCCCCTAAACTTGAACCATCAGATGCATTACCTCTTCCTTCAAACTTGGAGACTAATTCAGAACCACCAACCCTCAAACCAGTAGAACTCAATCCAGAGCAGAGTAAGCTTTACAAAAGAGTAAAATTTGATAATGAATTATATAGCACTTGCATTCAGAAAGAAATAAATGGACACACTCCAGAACACTTACTTGACAGTAATCTCAATGAGTCGACTGTTTCTGCTGTAGCTGAGTCATCAACTGATGTAAACAGACGTACATCCATTCTCTTCTGCAAATCGAAAAGTATAAGCCCCCAAAAGTCTGCAAAGAACACTGAAACCCAGCCAACTTCTCCACAGCTAGGGACCAAAACCTTTTTGTCTGTAGTCCTTCCAAGGTTGGAGACACTTCTGCACCCAAGGAAAAGATCAAGGAGTGCATGTGGAGATTCTGAGGTTGATGATGAGTCCCCTGTAAAGCGCTTGGATACAGGTAAATGTTACAAAACTTATTTGAATGGATGCATCTCAAAAGTTAACATACCTGTAATTGTTAATGTTCCGATTCTAGCACAAGTATTTCCCTTGTAGTTGAGTAATCAGATGTAGCTATAGTTCAGAAAATTACTCAATCATTTTTATGTTAGCATTTGGACTTAGTTAACCAAGTTTTCCTGTTTCACAGTTTTCATTTTGGCAATGGAATCTTTTAAGTTTACATGTCTGTGTGGGTGATGTTTTCATTTTTATTTACTTTTATTCTGATTTCCTTTTGTTGCATCCAGTGGGAAATATGAATCAGCTGTTGTTATTGTTTGTTTCTGTTTTTATTTTTTAGATATCCCTCTTAAAAGGATATTTCATGTGATGTCAAAACTAGGGTTTTTACAAGGAACATGGAAGATGTGTGTTCCATATATGACTTCATTTTGCTATAATATTACTCTGAGCACATTTTCACAGTGGGAAACTGATGATAGTGTATGAGGTGCTTTGTACAACCATGTATTTTATGGAAGTGTTAAAATCCCAAATGATAATGATTTTTTTCTGTGCTTCCCTTCTGAAGTCTATGAACTTCAAATAGATAAAGAATAAATGCAACATTGTACTCCTAGCAAGACTTACCTAAACAACCTTTGTATAACAAAGCTATTTTGGTTGTGCAGTGCAATTAATTGTGACTCAAGACAACCTATAGTCTGTATGTTGTAGGTACTTGAATAAGCCCTATTTGAGGAGGAACAGCAACATAAGGAAATTACATAGATGTATTTCCTTAATGCTATATGTGGCACTTCCTATGGCTTTTATACTGCCTTCTGAAATAAGTACTCTGTTCTATTGTTAGGTTGAAAAGGCCATATGTAGATAGGAGAAGAGCATGCAATTTTTCTGACTTTGAATGAAAGACGTAGGAATGTACTAAAAACTTCTGTTAAGAAGATATAAGTTTTTGTTGTTAATGATCAAATAAGAAGGGAAAATATTCAAATGCTAGGAAAATAGAATGTGAAAATAATAAGATGTGGTACAGTGGTGTTTTCAGCTTAGATTTTTGTTTATTTCCCCTCACTGAAAAACCTTCGTTTGCATTCCTTTCTTTGAAAGCTTGGGAAGAGCCCACAGATCTGATCCAAACTTCAGTTCTGAAGAAGGAATTGCGTGTAGCCTGTGCAATAAGAGAAGTGCATAAAACAATGTTAATGATGCAAAAAGCTTTGATTTCCAAATATTCAAATTTACCAATCTTTGATCTGAGACACTAACATTATATATCTTTCTACAGATTGTATTTTATCGTATGCACAATGAATCATTTTATGTTAGATCATGCAAGGATCTAGTCCTAAGCTTGAAACTTTTATGTTAAGCATTTTTAAATGAGTTTTTTAAGGAAGACTGACTTCATTCTTTAAATAAGTAAATCAAGCTGCTTGACTACGTTTAAAATCTATCATGTTCCTTTTCTCTCTGTGGAGTACATGTATGTAGGACAAATATGCTTTTAATTATGTTTAAAAATATATATATCCAAAGTTGTTAGGGTTGATTTTTTTTTTTTTTTTTTTTTTTTTTAATCTCCTTCTAATTTTAGTACACTTTCCATTTCAGAATTTTCAGGCTGTTTTTTCATTTGGTTGTCTGCTTTTTCAGTTTTTTTGATTTGTTTTTTTTTAAATATAATATATAGATCAATGATAGGAATAAAATCCAAAAAGGTGGTTTTTTTTTTGTTTTCCTGTTTAAAAAAATATCTGTAGAATCTTCCTGAAAGTAATGCAAATATGCATGGAAGTTATTTTCACCTGAAAGTATTATAGTTTTCTTTAAAAGTACATGTTTTCTTTGAAGTTTGCATTGTTTCTTCCAATGTGCCAACTTGTTAAATCTCGTTCATGTGCTTCTTTTTTCATTTGCAACCAAAATTTTTGCTTTTACATCATAGATTTTTCTCCTTATATTATTTTCAAACATGCCTTCAAGGTAATTTGAGCAATCTGCAATTGACAGTTATTTTGAGCTACCATTCAGCAAGAAATCAGCTAAGTCTTATTTGCTTTTTAAGATATCGTATTAGTTAATTATTCTACTTTTGCATATGCAAGCTGTTGTAGATTCATGCAGATGTCTGTGTTCTGGTAAGATTCAAAAGAAATAAGATGATGTATACAGTAATACAGTCTCTTTTTTTCACTGAATTCTAATTTAGTACTACTGTGAAGAATGTTCTTTGAAAGAATTCAGCAGACATGACTCTTTTCCTTTCAAAGACATGGCATAACAGATAAGGCTTACTTCAGGCTCCTTATGCACATTCTTGGAGTTGGTTCCTTCATGAGCAATCACTGTAACTTCAGTTATTATCGCACTGCGCGGTTTACTGGTATGAATGTTAAATATCCATAAGAACTGAATATACAAAGCTTGGGAACACTCATCTCTAGAAAGAATAACTGACCAAGAGCTGCACCCAGACTGCTGGGTGCATATCAGATTTCTTTCCTCTTTCCTTCCTTTCTGATATGGTGGATTGTTTTGCTCTCCTCCCTATTTCCTGCACATTATTTGGGGATGACTTGTTTTGTCACTCTCCTTTTATTCAGGAGGCCTCCTTTTATGTCACTCTTAAGTTTTCTTGCATGAGGTTCAGAACGAGTCTCCAAAGCTTGCCTAGTTAGGTGAAACCATGCCTACTTTGTCTGATGCTGCCATACTCTCATAAAGTGCCATTTACTGTTCTCTCCAGTAGTACAGTTGAGGCTGGTCTACTTGCCGGTTAATTTAAAGAAAGAAAAAATATGGATCAGTTTCTACTCTAGCTTTATTTCTAGCATTTGACAGAAATAACTGCTTATTGCACAGCATTACTTAATACTTCTAGAAAGACCAAAAGCTGTCTTTAATATTCTGGCCCTCTTTTTTTTATATGAATCATTTTTTAAAAAAAGATTGAACAGTAGTTTTCTTCTAGGGCATTATCCCACGGATGTGTAATGCATCTTTCTTCATAGCTGCCATGTGGAGATTGAAAATTACGTAACAAGGAAATGTGTTTTTAAATGTTTGATACATGCTTGAGGCATCTTATTGCTTTGTATAGTATCTAACAATGTCAAAAAGAAGAGAAGTTTTACTTAAGAAATTTTGGTCACACTGGAGATCACTGTAATTCTTGAAGTTCAGACATGTCAAATCTTAACTGCAAGGTAAATGATCTTCATGAAGTACTTATATCACACGTGCCGTATGTTTTGTTGTAAAGCTGAATCCTTTTCATCAAGTTGGGTTAGCATCTGAAAATTGATTGGAGAATCAAGCTCATCAATGAATAGCTTTATTAACAATTAATAGCTTTATTATTTGAAAGTTTGCTTTTATCAGTTATCAATTAATGAATGTAATTCTGATAAACTGAAAAAAGTAACTGTTTCATGATAACTTTTAATTAAAAAATGGTAAATCAAGCTCAGATTAAATTTTCAAGTTGGTCTTGATTTTATTGGTCACCTTTCATAAATGTAGGGTAGTAATTTATACTTACTGTGTTCACCCTCTTTTTTTTTTTTTACGCAGAAACAGACTATGCAAAATTTACTATTGTAAAGCCATCACTTGAACTTATCATAGGTTTAAGGTTGCAAATAATGACTATTATAGTGCAGTACAGTGGTTTTCTGGTATTTCTTAACTAGACAACAGTAATACGGTATTTTAGTGTAAGTTCAGTTACTCAGTATTCTTCACACTTGGCATTACGCAGATTTTCTCAGGACGCGGCAACAAACACAAGCATGAATTCAAGTATGAATGCGGCAAAAAGCGCAGATTTGAAGTTGGATGGGGAAAATGTCATTTTGCAGTATGTACTCTGCACGTAGTTGTCAGTATACAGCAAACACGATTATGCCTATTAAATCTACTAGCAAGTGTTGACCTTCGTTTCTGCCTGGTTGTTAAAAAATGCTCTTTGGCAGATAAGAATTGTCTTGAAGTAACCTGTATTTGAATTCCACTTGTACTTGATACATTTTTTTTTATTGTAGTGATGAGCATTTTTACTCAACTTTTTTTTAACGTAGTAAGGACAGGTTATGTTTGGAGTAAATCAGAGCACAGGTTATTTCTAGGATTCTTCAAGATATTTCTGTTATATCTTTGACTCTGGAACACAAGTCAACTGGGTTACGAGTTAGACTTCTGTGTAGAAGTCAGTCACCATTCCGTAAATGGGAGAAAATAATAAAACTAATGCATATCTAAGAACTTAACTGAAACTTTAAACAACGTTCTAAGCCAGAGATGGCTTGGTGGGAATCAGATAACAGAACTATTGAAGTCTAGTTAACCTACACACTGTCATTCTTGTCTTGAAGAGTAAAAGTCAGTAACTGGTCTAGATGTCAGTAGTTTTAATCCTCTTATGCATTGAATTATGCCTACTTTTTTTTCTTTAAATGCATACAGATTGCTTCCTGTAAAATCTGAAATTTAGATATTTAAGCATTTAGTGATGTCCAAAATCTTCAACTGCCTGCTGAAAGTATAAGACTTTTTAAGGTGTATGTTCGAAGAAAGCATCGAGGACTGTGTAAGCTTGTAAGGAATTCTCCGCTTTCCTGTTAAGTTTGCCAGTGTACAAACTACGGGAGCTCAACTGCTTAGTTGTCAGGATAGAACTATGCACAGCAGCATGTAAGTAGCAAGCAGGCTGAGAAAGCTAAGTTGGACTAAAATACTACCTAAATTATTGGGGAAAATGTCTGTTTCTTGGAGGGGGACCTGGGGAGGGTGAAGAGCGTTTGTGTCTTAACGTGAATTACGTCCACGAAAGTGGAGTGAGTTAAAGTGTGCAGTTAAGAAGATTTTCTTGGATTTTAGTCTCATCAGTCTCCTTGAAAGCACTATCTTTTGGGTTATTTTAAAGATACTAATTATTAACACCCGATTTACAATTGTTTTCTAAGATTAGTATAACTGAATTTTCTGTAA